TTTTTATCATTACATTATGGAAAATAATGACCTTTATCACAATATGCCAATTTTTTGAGAAGGACCTGTATATCAGCTTCAGGAGTTCAAGATGGCAGCCACAGCTAATAACCATTGATCAACACAAAAATAAATCAGACAATGATGCACACTGACCTAAAACTGGATGTGGTGGTAGCTGACAGTCATTCACTACACTGAGCATGGCCTTTGGCGATATTGCATGAGCTCCATCAAAGCGTTATCTAAAGGCTACAGCTCTTGTCATTTCTCATCATTAAATGAATTCAGTCTAAAACTCTGGCAGAAAAGGCGACAGGTGATAAGCATGTCTTCAAGGATTGCTTTACAACACAAATTGTGCTCTCTTTTACCCACATTCATACAGAACTCTATTACATATCTACAAAGCTAATCCAAGTAAATCATTCTACAGAGACTAATCAGTGCTTTAGATCACATTTAAATGCCTATGACACACATGAGAGGCAATGAGTGGTTCTTGCCCAGGTACACCTTGACATGTGACAGCATTTTAGTGGAACTGAATTTTCAACTCTCTCATTGGAGGATGACCGCTTTAAAACAGCTGTGTTCGCACCAAACACAGCTTTGTTTAATGCAAAGACAAATGGGTACAGAGGAGTTCAAGGGTTAAAGGTCAGGAGGCCAGTAACTTCTCCTACATCTGGAACTATAGCCTGGGGGCGACACAAAGCACACGCAACTAACAGCCCGCCCAATCTTTTGGCGTAACAAACAGGCACATATCTAGAAGTACAAAACTGACATACTGATTTCTGGTTCTTCTCATCAGCAGAAAACTCAAGAGAGACAGAGAGAGACACAGAGAGAGAGACAGAGCAGGCTGAAACATGAAGAAGGGAGACGTTCTGAAAGCTCATTGTCTCAGACTACAATCTGAAAGTGACGGACATTAAGTTCACAGAAACACAGAGGCTTCAATTAGTAGTGAAATCAATCAATCAATCAATCAATCAATCCATCAATCAATCCATCAATCCATCCATCCATCCATCCATCCATCCTCTTCACCCGCTTCTTCCTTTTTGGGTTGCGGTAGTCACTGGTGCCCATGTCCAGCAATCATTGTGGGAGAGGTGGGGGGCACCATGGACAGGTCTCCAGTCCATCACAGGGACACATAGAGACAAAGAACCATTCACTTTCTCACTAACACCTAGAGACAATTTAGAGTTACCAATCAGCCTAACATGTATGTTTTTGGTCTGTGGGAGGAAATTGGGAGTACCTGGAGAAAACCCACGCATGCATAGAGAGAACAGGTAAACTACACCCAGAACGGGTTCAAATCCCCGGACTGGGATTTGAACCGGGGCAACTTTCTCACTGAGAGGCGGCAGCTCTACCAACTGCACCACTGTTATCTTTTTTTTTAATTTATTTTATTTACTTTTCATTCAAAAAACCACAAGTTGGCATCTCTGCAAAATACACTGAAGCATTGTTAAAAAACTAGGAAGCAGAACACTAGCTAAAAGCTAAATGTAGCAAAAAGCTAGCTAAAAGTTAAAAAGCGAAACACTAACAAACTATTTAAAAGTAGTAAAATGCTTGCTAACAGTAGCAAAACAAAAACTAAGAGGTAAAGCTAGGAAAAGGCTAGCTAAAAGTATCAAAAAGTGGCTAAAAAGCTAAAAAGAGCAGAAGGCTAGCTTGAAGCTAAAATAGCAGAAAGTTAGATAAAAGTACTGAAAGGCTAGCTAGATGCTAAATGTACAAAAGTCTCAATAAAAGCAGAATGTATGTCAGCTGAAAGCCTAAAGTAGGAAAAGACTAGCTAAAATCTAAAAGTAGCATAAGAAGATGAGCATGTGTGCTGAAGCAGAAGTTAATTTGTCAAGTATAAAAGTTGCAAAAAACAAAAACCCTTGCACCAATCTTCTAAAAGAGCTGAACATTTTGATAAAGTATAAGTGGCTGAAATACACAAAGTACACAAAATACACAAAGTAGTTAGATTGCAAAAAAAGCGTATGTAAAAAACAAACAAAAAAACTGTAATGTGAATGCTGACTCGGCATTCACATGACTAAAAAGATAACAGTAGACATCAGTGACTCTTGCTGTGTATTAATACACACGAGTGCACAAAGTGTAGGTGCAGCATTGTGTCAGCAGATGCCTCACTACCTTTTGTCGCCAACAATGAGCCAGGGCAGTCGAGCTTGTTGGGGGGAAGTGATGGATTAGAACAAATCTATTGGCTGCTTGCAATGTGTGGGTCAGGCGTTGAGTTGAGGAGGGGGGTGGAGGAGGAATGAGGGGTCAGAGATAGTTTAAAACTGCATGTGAATGCCCGGCTCTGGTTCTTTGATACCAGTGACCTACATATGCACATTTGTATGTGCATCATGCATGGGTGGAAATCTAATCCCACATATAAACAAATCGATAAATGCTGCCTCACTTAACAAAAACACGTCTGAAGTTGTGGCTGTCATTTACAAACCCTGCATATGAAAACTAATAAAAACAACCAGAAGATTTAAGGCCCAGCAATCCTTGAAGGAATGCATATCACCCACTGCTTTCCATGCAGTCTTATCATCTTCTGACATGCACAAGTGAATGTCATCAGAAGATGATCCTAGTGTCATCATCCGCCTTTGCTTTTTAAGCAGCAGGCAGCAACTATATCAAGATTTAACAAAAGAACACACACCATTCAAATAAAGCACTTAAAAAATATGAGTGCAAAGTATTTTTTCCACAAGATATTTATTTAATAAGTTTAGTCTTACGTCAGCACAGTATGAAAAAGAGAGAAAGAAAAAGAAAGATGAACACGATACCTGACCTTTCCCAGGCAGGATGTAGGCTAAGTGTTAGCTTCGCCATGGCAACAGTGCAAAATGTCCTAAAGTAACCTCCCCAGATCCTCTTTGTAGCTTTGCATGCGGATGTCTAATTGCTTGCAGGCATCTGTATTGCAGTTGTTGAACTTTGGCCCAGTAAAAGGATTGTGTGTGTGTTTGTGTAATTGTGTGTGTCAGGGAGGGCTTGTTTAGTCTGGTCACATGGACCGCAGGCCTGTGAAACTGCCAGACTTCTGTCCACACGGTCAGATAATGTGCCCTGCTGGGAACGGCCGAGATGCCACTATGCGCTGACAGCACGCCCACAATGAGCCACTGTAATGAGGCAGCTGCAGCTGGAGTTACTATGGCAACTGACACATGTTGTGTCATTATTTACAGCCACTTGTGGCTGCAGGTTTTTTTTTAATTTAAACCACAGTTCACACAGGCTGAAAAGTAATGGGATAACAAGCTTGGAAGTAAATGATGTTTTGAAAGGAAGTTGTCTAGAAATGAGCATACTAATGGGACAAACTCCCACACCGTTACTGGTTTAAGGAATAAAAACAGGAAAAAGCAACAATTTGAATATTCAAGTAGCGGTGTGTGGTGCTGACTAAAGCACACTCTGAGATCTGAAACGTCACCTCAGTTTACTGCACCTGGCCATGGGAGTATTAATCAGATATTGCTAGTTGTTTATTTAATCACTAATCAATATATATTTAGCAACACATAGGGCCATTGTGGCACTGTGTTTATATGTGCAGAGATTTACACTAATCTGATTAAAAACAAAATGCTGTCAGTCTGGGTGGGACTTGCCTGCAAGAGGAGATATTTGAGCAAATCGAGGGCAGCAAAACCATTAAAGTCTGACAGCTCTGAAGCTGGTGGGACACAGAGCAAAACATCAGAAGAGGTGGAGTGGTGGGCATTGTGCAGTGAGCAGCTATAATCAAGTCCTGTGAGCAGACAGAGGTCAGGCTTGAGTAAGAAGAGAGGCAGCGGAGCATGCTCAGATTGAATTTGATCGCACTGGGCCCCACCATGCACTGGGGCCCCCAGACACTGTGAACACAGCTGTCCTACTGAGTTAGCATTAAACTCCTGTTTTAAAAACAAAAGTCCCGTCTTATTCTCACCACCTTGGAAAACTATCTTATAGCTTTGTTGTTGTTATAAAACACAACTATGCTGCTCTAATCAATAACACAACGAAGTGCAAAAACACCCTGAAGGAGGACATTTAGGGCAACAATTAAAGATGGTGTCAACACTGACTTTTCATCGTTCAGTACCTGCCCTGCCTGCTGTTTGCATAACAAACACTTACCAACATGGCTGCCAAGTTCAAGGCAAATATTTTCATGTTTAACCTTTCAGGTTTTCTCGTTTGACAGTGGCAAATTTAAAAAGGCCTCTTGTGGCAAGCTGCTCAGTTTCATGGCAACTTAATCTAAAAAGCTTTGGTTAAAAAATTCCCATCTAACGTGTCACATCAGACAATACAACTTTAATGCGCAGCCCAAAATCTCAGTACTATTGCACACATTTCTTTTTACATTGTCCTCAATGAAAACAACTTAAAATGACAATAAATGAGATTTAATTCAATTAATTTCAATTCAGTTTATTGATGTAGCGCCAAATCACAACAAAGTTGTCTCAGGGCACTTTACAGAAACATTCACATAAAAGCCAATTAGTAAAGTTCTCTATCTAAGGAATCCAGCAGACAAGATGAATCTTGGCTTCGATGCAGTCTCCCATCCATTTAAGTTAGAATAACACTGAGGAATAAGTGATCTGATTTCCCTTTGATTTAATGTTAATGATTATTTAACAGATGATCAAATAATTAAACTTTAGCTCAACACAATCTGTTAGTTCTTATAATACGTGTTGATGATCACGCTCAGCTATTAACAAATCAGATTTTAGGTGAATATGTGTAAAACTGGCTGAGTTACAGCCATTTTGGTGAATTAGCAAACATATTAACTCTGGTTGATATCAAAAGTTAATCAGTTGTAGGTATATGATTACTTAGTTTCATGAAAAATCATCAAGTAGTTTATGAGGTATTTTGCTAACAGACCAACAAGCACACACATGATATACAGCTTTCTTTTATGGCAGTCGGTAATAACTGATCAGTTTTTTTTTTAAACTTAAAAAAGTATACATACATATAGTAATCCATTATCCAAAAGAAAGTAGATCTTTGTTTAAACCTTAGCATACAAGGAGGCAGGCGACATGCATTCCATCAAGAAATGTTATTTTTTTATGTATGCAAATGTCCAGTTTAATATAGTTTAAATTACATTATCAATATTAAACAATATATTATTTATTTATATAGTGCATTTAAAATAAATCAAATAAGTAGAGGTTTTAGAAACAGTCTTCACTGATGAAATTTTGTAGCTTCATCAGTTTTGAAGCATCACAAACTCCAGACTGTAATGACTCAAGAGATTTCAATAATGTTCAGAAACTGTTTCAGTCTTAAGTGGTAGGATTTACTGCAGGACAGCCTGAGACTTTTTTTTTCTTGCTACTAGAATGCACCTAAAAACTAGTAAATGATAAAAAAATTAAATAAAGTTGAAGCAAGACATTTTCTTGAATTAATTACAACACCCACTGAATAAGTTATTGAACATTAAAATGAGTCTGAATGATGTCATCGTTCTGTCATTGCTGGTGATAAAAGGGTGTGCAGTACTTGGAACAGGATTGGCTAGTGTCAGTGCCAGAGTGTGGCAGTTCATGTTCAGGCACAAAAAGAGAGAGAAAAAAAAAAAAACAGCTCGGAGCGACCTACATTAGCAGTGCTTAGTGCGTTGCCCCAAAGTATCCCACAGTTCTTAGCAGTTGGCTTCAGCAGACATGGACGTGGGGAGGGCAAGGGATAACATACAGGGGGGACTGGTTGTGAGTTAGTGATTAAGTGTGTGTTTCAAGCAAACAACAGAATACAAAGAAAGGGAATATGGGCAAAACTCCAAGTGTTCAGCAGAACTGCAGACAGATCTGAGAGCAAAGTTCAGCTGTATTCTGTGTGCACAACAAGATAAAAGTGTGGAGTCTGTTCATGTGTGTTTAAGTGCACACGCGCACACACACATGCACGCGGATGCAATGCTCTCTGGGGCAGACAGCCTGGGCATGTTGCCAGCTTTATATTGAGAGTTCCAGGTTAGTGTTGAGTTCATCCAGCTCTCTCCTGTTGAGCAACATGTAGAGACTCACGTGTAGAAAGCTCTGAGCTTGATCCACCAGGGAGGTGGTGGTGGTGTGTGTGGAAGGTTAATTTTACCTGTTCTGTTCTCTGTTCTCTTATGTCTTCAATTTGCATATTTTTCTTTCCACTGTTTTTACATGAAACCTGTTTTAATCTGTCATCTTTAATTTCTCTTAAATAAGTTTTCTTTCATTCTACCTTTATTTATACAGGTTAGTCTCATTGAGCCTCGAGGACTCATTTACAAGAGAGACCTGTAAGTTTAAGGTGTCTGTAGAAAATTTGGGCTCCCTTCATCAGGGGTTGCCACAGTGAACTAAGTCGCACGAAGACGTGGAAATTATTTTTTACGCTGGATGCCCTTTCTAACAGAACCACAGACCACCGAGCTACCACAGCCCTGTGTGTGGAGCAGAGAGCTGCTATCTAGGGTGCCCGGAGGTGCAGATGGTGGGGGTTAAGGGCCTTGCTCAAGGGCCCAGAATGGGGCAAATGAGGGTGGAGACAGGTGCTTCACCATTCCCACACACATTTTTGATGTTGTCAGTACCAGGAGTTGAACCGGCGATCTTCCGATCACAAGTCCACCTTCTCTAAACTCTGTGCCACCATTCCTTCCTTTGGGCTACTTGATGCTGTCGAACAAAAAAACATACATAAGAAAGCTACACATAATATAGGTATTATGTTGCAGCCTCCTGAGCTGCTGCAGCTAGCTGTGGGCCTCAGGCCTCATCTCGGACCGTCCTGTTCCGGCTGTCGGAAAATTGTGAATAGACAAATTAAATAATATGATTCTCTTGTAGAAATGTAAAAAATAAAACAGTGGCTCCTCATACAGGAAATTCTTCACTTTTTTGTTCCAATTTATATTTCATCTTCATTAAAAGATTTATGAAGTGTCATCAGCTATTCTTGCCCTCACTCGTTCACACCTGCTCTCATGTTCATGAGACCCACTATTCGTTCCTCTCAGCCTTCTTAAACTCCTGGTTCTCTTCTACTCATCAGTTTGCCATATTGTAAGTGTTCCTGCCTCCTCTTATCCAGGTGCTCCTTGTAGTCCCAACCACCACCCTCCCTATTTGCCTGCTGCTAGTGATGGTGTGATCAAGCCCTGTGAATATGTTGTCGTTCCTGACAAGTGCCAAACCTAAAGGTTGATCAAAAACTGTTCCTTTATTCGGTGAAGCTAGTTCTTGAGTTTTGTTTCTTTCATTCCTTACTGCAAATCCTAACGTTTGATTTAAAAAACAAAAAAGCAAACAAACAAAAAAACACAAGTGGCAGAGAGAAAAAAATCAAAGACACACAAGTACACGCTGGAAACCCCCCCCACTGTCTTTAATGTCCATAAAAAAATTAAAATGTACAACAATTGACCTGCCAAGCTTAATTTTCATCAGGGTTATTGTCTGTTCATTAAGTGTATTTTAACAGTTTACAGACACTACATGTTGCATGCTTGCTTACTTGTGGTTTATTATGGTGACTCTGGAGGCTGGGATTCCCAACACGGCACAGCTGCTTAGAAGTTCTTTTCTACGTTGTGCTCCTTGGTTGTAGTAGTTTCCTGCACAACATTTAAAGAATAGATATGACCACAATAAAATGAAAACATGCTTTTTTTTTTTTAGCAAATATCAAAATTCTAAACAATTATTGAATAAAATTATAGACTATTTATAAATGGTAAATGGACTGTACTTATATAGCGCTTTTCTATCTTATTTCGAGATACTCAAAGCACTTCACACAACAATCTGTCTCCTCATTTACCCATTCAAACAGCACTCTACTAGAACTCTACAAAGCTAATTGAACAAAATCATTCTAAAGAGACTAATCAGAGCTTTATCACATTCATAGACCGATGGGACACACATCAGAGGCTATGAGGGATTCAGTGTCTTGCCCAGGGACACTTCAACATTTGACTGCTGGTGGATTCGAACCCCCAACTCTTGCATTGGAGGACGGCTGCTCTAACCACTCAGTCACAGCCGCCCCTATAATATAGTACTACTGTATTTCAGTTGAATTTAGCTACATTGTATCACTATTGCCCTGTGATGGACTTGCGACCTGTTCAGGGTGTACCCCGCCCTTCGCACAGTGACTGCTGGACATGGGCACCAGCGACCCCCGTGACCCAAAATGGAATAAACGGGTAAAGATAATGGATGGATGGATGTATCACTATTGGGATGTTAATCAGCATCAGCTTTATTGTCATTGCAGAGCACAACGAAATTACATTTCAGTTAAACGAGATTATATACATTACAACTTGTGGTTTGTTACAATCTCATTAATTTCACCTTTGAAACGTAAAGGTTTAAGTGACAAAAGTCAGTGCCTGTGCTTTCTTAAGTTTTTATATTTACTATTTAACTACGACAAATTAGTCATGAAGTAAGAATATTTTCGTTTGCTGAGAGGGGCTGACGTTTAGATAACTCTTGTCCTTATTAAATAACAAAACAAAAACTATGAAGAAGTCTCTCATTTGATATTTTGCTTAATTTGAACACTTTTGGTGAGATATTTTCCAAACTTTGTGAAACCGGAAGCTGAAACTAGCTAACATGAAACAGAAGCTAGCACGTTCATATTATTTTTCCACAGCTTTACACACTGCACTATTATTGTTTTCAACGCCAACAGAAATGTCCTGTCACTGTACCTTCAGATAAGCACAGCAAATGAACCGTGACGTTATTTTCAACCAGTCGTATAATCGTTGGCGCGAAGAACATACATTCATCATCCGGATGCGCAGTCACAACCAGAGCCCTGACGTTTGTTTGTCTGTCTGATGAAATGTTCATCACATGTTTCAGCAGGTTCTCCAAACTGCAGTGATGTCGGCAGAAAACCCATTTGATCCAAGCCACATAGGCTAATACTACGAAGATAACCAAGTAAAGACACATTATTTTGACCGTCACTGTAACTAATCCGTGTAAGGACAATGAGCTAATGTATCAATGGTTCCGGATGTTCAAAAATAAGGAGCATTGCTTCATTAAAAAACAAAACAACAACAAAAATAAAACATTATGCATTTTCTTCAACTTTGCCAGAACTAATTGCTATTTTTTTTGACATTATATAGAATCACTTTTATCTCTTAGTCACTTAAACCTAACCTACTTTACCAGAAAATGTGGATGAGATGATTATAATCAAAATTCTTATAATGTATCATTAGACACATGATTCAGTACATGTAAAGTGATTAAAATAAAGCGAGTGTATCTAGTGACTTTTAAAAAAATAAAAATTATTTTCGCAGATATATTAGCGTGTTTGAGGGAAAAGTTTAGGCGTCACACCGCTATTTCCTGGCCGATATATAAAAAAAGATTTTAAATTCACAAGAAAACGTTTTTAAACAAAGATAAAATTACTATGACTTTTGTATATAAATAAATTCTAACAGATAAACTCTCATTCTATATTTTTTAAGCTTCAGACATCAAATTTACTAGTAAGATTTTTTTTGTTGCTGTCAGGACATCGACCGACAAATGCGGCGCAGCCTTTAGTCTGCTTAGTCGTTCTCAGCCCACAACCCGCGGATTTACAATCAACTGTTCTCATAGAAGTTCGCATAAGGAGACCTTCTTTCCCATCTCTGTCCACTTCAAATATGTGGTGAGTACAAATCGTCTCTATGCGGCCCATCAACGAGCCTGGTTAGCTCTCTGTTTAAACGACTCGGTCCTACGCTTAAAATCAGCCTTGCAAGATGGCGACGTGGTTGAGAATTCAAAGGTGAAATAGAAGCGGTGTAAGTGGGTTAGGCAGCGAGCTACAATAATGTCCTAAATGTGCTTATATCACTGTAAAGTGCTTATGTGACCTCTGTATTTAAGTTGACGTTTGTTGCTATTCACGTTAGCGGAGATATTGCCTGTTGTGAAAATGGCCCCCATCCCCCCAAAAAATATGCTAAAAGTCTAGCTCCATTTTTCTATCGTTTATGGTATTAAACGATAACAAAACATCAAACAGCACCTGTTTCCATACGGGTTTATTACTAAATAGCTGCTGGATTAGCATGAAAATTGTTAAAGTGAACAATGCTTGATATACTGCATATTATTTAACTAAGCTAACCGACATGTATTTATTTTTTTAATCTCCTAACCTTGCACTTTTACCCTTCAAAGACCTTAAATGGTATGTGGAGCAAATAGTAGATTGATACAGTGGAAAGAGGTTGTTAAAGGACAACACAGGAAGCGGTTTTTAACTACTTGAAAAAAATCAATCTTTTATGTTGCATTAACCAAAATAAGATAAAACTTTAACTTCTTTAATTAAAATAGGCAAGCTACAAATGTTTCAACAAATTAAGAGAAGCAGATTAAAAAAACAACAACGCAAAGGCCATGTATGCATGTTATGGTCGGGTCACATCAGGTTACACAGAATACTACCTTTTTGTGCATGTGTTTTAAAAATAAAAATGCAATGATGTTTGCTGAATTGTAGTACTTTAGCATACAAGGAGGTCTCCTTTTTGTAAAGCAAGATCCCAGAATAGTGCACAATGTGATGGTTGTGTAAAACGACCTGCAACACTTTTAACTGGAAGATGATAATCTACCAAGCTGTAGCAATATTTTATTTTTTTTGAGGTTTCGATTTAATTTGGTTTTCAGTCTGGATTGAAAAATTTTTGCTCTTGTCCTGCTTTATAAAATTTTATTATTTTCTTTTTATTCTTGAAGCATCAGTGGGGAAAAAAAGTGGGAAGCAGCAGGTAAAAAAAAATAGAAAAATTAAAGTAAATCATAATAAGAAGATGGTGGTTGTAAAATGTTTAGAGCTTGATTTTACTTAGGAAGCATGGTTCAAGCAAGTTGAAATAACCGCATTGTGAATTTACTGTTCATACAGATTGTAAGTTTCTTTCGGCTGCTCCCTTCTTCAGGGGTCACCACAGTAAGCAAGCTCGCATGAAAGATTTGGCAATTTGTTTCACGCCAGATGCCCTTTCTGACGCAACTGGGCTTGAACTTGCAACCTCAGGATTACAAGGCCACGGCACTGACCATCGCGCTACCACAGCCTTACTATTTATACTGATACTGGGCCAAATCACATTAACTTTAGTCCTTGTTCTAAAATGACAGACAAAGTTGCACAAGGACTCCATTTTTCAAACTCAAACATAGTATCGTAATTTTTTCTATCAGCTTTATGTCTTCTAGGCATATTCGAGGGGGTGGATGGTTAGTTGCAAAAATAATCTGTAAATTATAAACGCTCTTTTTTTTCTGTTTTTAGAAGACGCCACATGTAAGTAGGACAAGTTACAGAAATCTATATACAAGCTCAACAAAAACTACACAAAAGTAGGCACTGAGATGTACGTTTATGCAAGCATTAAGATCACAAGCGGTAAGCGCAACTTTTGCATTTCAAATTTCTACTCAAGCGATTAACATACATGTTTTTGGACTGAGGTAGAAAAACCAGAATACTTGGAGAAATCTTATTTTTTTGTGTGAGCTGCAGACGTGTGCAGTTTTGTCTCAAAGTAGTCTGTCGTCGTGGGCGTCATTTTGATTTTGTTGAGAGCATCTCCAACTCCTCTCATGAGTGTAAAAGTGGTATTTTGACACTTGCATAGGAGCCCCTCCTCTGACAGAAGATATGTCTAGGTCTAAAAACTTCAATACCTGGCTGTTGTAATGGATGCAGTATGAAGTTTAGCATTGTTTTGCTGAAATATGCAAGGACTTCCCTGGAAATTATGTCATATGGGAGCATACGTTGTTCTAAAACCTGCATATATTTTTCTGCATTGATGATAGCTTTCCAGATGTGTAGTCTGACCACACCATAAGCACTAATGCACCTGTATACCTTCTGAGAGACCTGCTTTTTTATGTGTTGATAACAGGTTGGATGGTTTTGTTTCTCTTTAGTACAGAGGATGTCCATGGTTTTCAAGAAATTTAAAATTTGATTCCCCTGATTGCAGAACAGTTTTCCACTTTGCCTCAGTCCATTTTAAATGAGTGTTGGTTCAGAGAAAGTGGCTGCGTTTCTGGATGGTGCTTAGATATGGCTTTTTCTTTGCATGTTAGAGCTTTAACCAACATTTGTGGATGGCACAGTTAACCGTGTTTGCAGTTTTTTGTGGAAGTGTTCCTGAGCCTATGTAGTGATGTCCAGTATGGAATAAAACCTGTTTTTATTGCAGGGTTGCCTGAGGGCCCAAAGATTACGGACATCTAATACTGACGTTCAGTCTTGCCCTTTGATCTCAGATTTCACTAGATTCTTGCAATCTTTTGAAAATATTATGAACAGAATATGATGGGATTTTCAAAGTCTTACCATTTTTTTGTTAAGGAACATTTATTTTGAAAAAAATTCACAAATTTTAGATGCTTTTTCTGCAGTCTAGTGAAGCTCTGCCTATCTTTACTTCTGAGAGATTCAGTCTCTAAAATGCTCTTTTCATACCCAGTCTTCTTATTGACTATTAACTTACTTTGTTTCAGATCCTTTTACACTTATTTTTGTAATCTTTTGTTGCCCGGGTTGCATAGTTTATGAGATGTGTTGCTACCATCAAATTAAAATTTATCTTATTTAAAGAAAAGTTACTCTTTCTTAGTTTAAACATTTGAGAAATTGATTATGTTACATTGTTAATTAGATATGGATTTATGAGGTTCATGTCCCTAGAGCTAGTTTATGCCACCAGGAATGGGCAGGTTTAGAGACCCTCCCTCACCTGTTACCCAGCTTGCAATACACCTTATCTCTATGGTCCTCCTCATGGCCCAGGAGGAGGTGGCATCCTGTATTTTTTACGGGCTTGGTCTGACCAAGCCTCATGAGCCAAGGCTTGACCACCATGCACTTCAGCTCAGGCTTGGATCTTTGCGGGTATCCCAGTTTCCCATTTCTGGGCAATAGCTGTTTTATCCATCAAAGATTCTAAATATCTCTTGGTCTGACCCCTTCCCTGAGGCCAGTTTGCAGTGGGAGATCCTACCAGGGGCTGGTGCCCCAGACAACATAGCCCCCACGATCAAGAGGAAATCAAATGCTTTATCACATTAAGGTGACGATTCATGACTGAAACAACAAGATCCCGATGCAAGCTGCTGAAATGAGCTGCTTTTGAAGGGTAACCTAGCTCAGCCTTAGAAATAAGGTGAGGAGCACCGTCATCCGGGGGGAACTCAGGAGTAGAGCTGCTGCTCCTCTGCAATAAAAAGAGACGTTTGAGGTGGTTTGGGCCTTTCTTTGGAGGTTTTCGAGGCACATCTCACTGGGAAGAGAAGCTGGGGAAAAGGCTCAGAACTTGCTGGGGGGATTATGTATTCTCTTGGGCCTGGGAACACTTGAGAATCTCCCAGGAGGATCTAGAGATCGTTGCTGGGGAAAGAGATCTTTGGGTTTCTCTCCTAGACTTGTAGCCTCCATGATCTGACCATGGATAAAGATGGGTGGATGAAGTAGATGAAAGATGTCTGTTATGTTATAAATAATATCTTTACTATTGCCTTAAACACTGTTTTAGCAGATCATTGATTTTTGCCTGGGTTTTTCCTGTTTGACATTTTAAATAGATTACCTATAGGCTCGAATGTTCAAATATGTACAAAAATCTATGTTCTTAAATATTTTTCGCACTTTTTAATTTGTACAACTGTGAAACATTTTTACTTCAGTTTTTGACAACAGATTATTTAAAAAATATTGTTTTCTTTGCATTCAATATTATTTATTTAAAGATCTATTTTGGACAGTTTGGGAAGTGGAGTTTTGTGTAAAGGCTATAAACTGTCTTTCACATGCTTTTTGAACTTCTTCACCAAATACAGTTCAGTTGTGGCAGCATTGAAAAGCTAATGGCTAGTCCTAATACTCATGAGACCATAGTGGATTGCTTTGTATGTTATAAATAGCATTTGTGTGTACTGCCATGAATCTTTGAACACTGGAGTTGTTTTACGATATAAATATTTGCTTTTAAAGTGGATCCTTTCAGTTGTGCTGAGGAGTTAATAATGGTTAGTCCAAACTGACCCACTTTCAGAGTGGGTTACAGACAAATTAAATAGTGGTGCACCGATAAATCGGCCCTGATTTCCTTAATTTTGAGAAATTGGAGATCGTCCGATACTTGCATGAGAAACCAATTTTACAGATTTTTGTAGTTTTAACAACAATTGTCTGAACTTCATTTATATTTCAGAGCACTACCTCATGGCCTGTTAAAACAAGTTTGTATTGTTTCTAGGATATTGTTCAAGTGTATGCTTTTCAATAAAATAAGATTGGAAAATTGAAGGTGTATTGTGACCTTATAACATCTGACAGTGTCACTTATTTAACAAAATCAGAATCGGCAGGTCAGACTTTTTAGAAATCAGTGATCGGCCAGAAAACTGTAATTGGTGCACTCCTAAAATTAAAACAACTCCAGTTTAAATAGAAAATCATAATCAATGCAAACACGTTCATAGATCATACCATTTCAGTCGATTTTTGCATAATGCAATTATTATTGGTGGCGCAGTTGGTAGAACAACTGCCTCTCAGGGAGAAGGTTTCAGGATCGGGAGTTTTTCCTTTCCACTGTTGCCTCTGTGCTTGCTTAGTATGGAAGACTGCAATGAAGTGAAATCTCAAAGCAGTCTGTTTGCTCCTTAGATAAATAACGTTATTAACTGACTTTATACAGTGAGGAAAATAAGTATTTGAACACCCTGCGACTTTGCACGTTTTCCCACTTTGAAATCATGGAGGGGTCTGAATCTTTCATCTTGGGTGCATGTCCACTGTGAGAGGCATAATCTAAAAAAAAAAATCCGGAAATCACAATGTATGATTTTTTAATAATTTTATTTGTGTGTTACTGCTGAAAATAAGTATTTGAACACCTGTGAAAATTAATGTTAATATTTGGTACAGTATCTTTGTTTGCAGTTACAGAGGTCAAAGGTTTCCTGTAGTGTTTCACCAGGTGTGCACACACTGCAGCAGAGATTTTGGCCCATTCCTCCACACAGATCTTCTCTAGATCAACCAGGTTTCTGGGCTGTCACTGAGAAACAGAGTTTGAGCTCCCTCCAAATATTTTCTATAGGGTTTAGGTCTGGAGACTGGCTAGGCCACTCCAGAACCTTGATATGCTTCTTACGGAGCCACTCCTTGGTTCTCCTGGCTGTGTGCTTTGGGTCATTGTCATGTTGGAAGACCCAGCCATGACTCATCTTCAATGCTCTAACTGAGGCGAGTGGAATTAAGACCAAAAAGTTCTATTTTGGTCTCATCTGACCACATAACTTTCTCCCATGACTCCTCTGGATCATCCAAATGGTCATGGTCAAATTTAAGACGGGCCTGGACCTGTGCTGATTTAAGCAGGAGAACCTTCCGTGACATGCATGATTTTAAACTATGACATCTTGGTGTATTACCCACAGTAACCTTGGAAACAGTGGTGCCAGCTCTCTTCAGGTCATTGACCAGCTCCTCCCGTGTAGTTCTGGGCTGATTCCTCACCTTTCTTAGGATCATTGATACGCCACGAGGTGAGATCTTGCATGGAGCCCCAGTCCAAGGGAGATTGACAGTCATGTTTAGCTTCTTCCATTTTCTAATAGTTGCTCCAACAGTTGATCTTTTTTCACCAAGCTGCTTGGCAATTGCCCCGTAGTCCTTTCCAGCCTTGTGGAGGTCTACAATTTTGTCTCTGGTGTCTTTGGACAGCTCTTTGGTCTTAGCCATGTTAGTAGTTGGAGTCTTACTGATTGTGTGGGGTGGACCGGTGTCTTTATGCAGCTAACAACCTCAAACAGGTGCTTCTAATTTAGAATAATAAGTGGAGTGGAGGTGGACGTTATAGAGGAGGACTAACAGGTCTTTGAGGGCCAGAACTGTTGCTGATTGGCAAGTGTTCAAATACTTATTTGCAGCAGTAACACACAAATGAATTATTAAAAAAATCATACATTGTGATTTCCGGATTTTTCTTTTAGATTATGTCTCTCACAGTGGACATGCACCTAAGATAAAAAATTCAGACCCCTCCATGATTTCTAAGTGGGAGAACTTGCAAAGTCGCAGGGTGTTCAAATACTTATTTTCCTCACTGTATATATGTGAATGTTTCTGTGCAGTGCCCTGAGATGACTTCTGCTGTGATATGGTGCTATATAAACAAACTGAATTGAATTAAATTGAATTGGATCAAATCCCAGCCAGGTACCTTTCTGGGTGAAGTTTGCATGTTCTCTCCGTGCATGCATGGGTTTTCTCCACGTACTCCGGTTTCCTCCCACAGACCAAAAACATGCATGTTAGACTGATTGGTAGCTCTAAATTGTCCCTAGATGTGAGTGAGACAGTGAATGGTTGTTTGTCTCATTGTTTCTGTCTCATTTGTCTTTATGTGGCCCTATGATGGGCTGCAGACCTGTCCAGGGTGTACCTGCTACTCAGCTAAAATGCAGTTCTTTCACAAAATGCTGGGAACCCCTTTTTTAAAAAAATGCTGGGAACCCTGCTATTCTATATATTGCATTTGATAACTTCTCATTCAAATATAATCTTGGCATTGTTTTTATGCACATGTTGTAATTAATTGTTTATCATTTATAACTATATTTCATGACTGTTTCCTGTTTTCAGGTGGTCTTTGTCTCTAAACATGGTCTAGTTGATGTTGATCTGTGAGGCGACAACAGCCCACCAGCATTAAGCCAGGATGTCCAGTAGCTCAGGCTACCCCCCAAGCCAGGGGAGCTTCAGCAGTGAACAGAGCCGATACCCACCACACTCTGTCCAGTATACCTTCAGCCCACGCCACCAACAGGTAAAACCCAACATCTGCATCTGTGTTTAATCTTACGATCATACAAACCGGATTCCAAAAAAGTTGGGACACTAAACAAATTGTGAATAAAAACTGAATGCAATGATGTGGAGATGGCAAATGTCAATATTTTATTCGTAATATAACATAGATGACAGATCAAAAGTTTGATCTGAGTAAATGTAACATTTTAAAGGAAAAACATGTTGATTCAAAACTTCACAGCGTCAACAAATCCCAAAAAAGTTGGGACAAGTAGCAATAAGTGGCTGGAAAAAGGAAATTTAGCATATAACGAACAGCTGGAAGACCAATTAACACTAATTAGGTCAATTGACAACATGATTGGGTATAAAAAGAACTTTTCAGAGTGTCATTGTCTCTCAGAAGCCAAGATGGTAAGAGGATCACCAATTCCACCATTGTTGCGCAGAAAGATAGTGCAGCAATACCAGAATGGTGTTACCCAGCGTAAAATAGCAAAGACTTTTAAGTTATCATCATCAACTGTGCATAACATCATCAAAAGATTCAGAGAATCTGGAACAATCGCTGTGCGTAAGGGTCAAGGCCGTAAAACTCTACTGGATGCTCGTGATCTCCGGGCCCTTAAACGTCACTGCACCTCAAACAGGAATGCCACTGTCAAGGAAATAACAGAATGGGCTCAGGAATACTTCCAGAAAGCATTGTCAGTGAACACAATCCACCGTACCATCCGCCGTTGCCAGCTGAAACTCTACAGTGCAAAGAGGAAGCCATTTCTAAGCAAGCTCCACAAGCTCAGACGTTTGCACAAGGCCAGGGGTAATTTAAAATGGAGTGTGGCAAAATGAAAGACTGTTCTGTGGTCAGATGAGTCACGATTTGAAGTTCTTTATGGAACACTGGGACACCATGTCATCCGGACCAGAGAGGACAAGGATAGCCCAAGTTGTTATCAACGCTCCGTTCAGAAGCCTGCATCACTGATGGTATGGGGTTGCATGAGCACTTGTGGCATGGGCAGCTTGCATGTCTGGAAAGGCACCATTAATGCAGAGAACTATGTTCAGGTTCTAGAACAACATATGCTCCCATCTAGACGTCATCTCTTTCAGGGAAGACCCTGCATTTTTCAACAAGATAATGCCAGACCACATTCTGCAACAATCACAACATCATGGCTACGTAGGAGAAGGATCCGGGTACTGAAATGGCCAGCCTGCAGTCCAGATCTTTCACCTATAGAGAACATTTGGCGCATCATAAAGAGGAAGGTGCGACAAAGAAGGCCCAAGACGATTGAACAGTTAGAGACCTGTATTAGACATGAATGGGAGAGCATTCCTATTTCTAAACTTGAGAAACTGGTCTCCTCTGTCCCCAGACGTCTGTTGAGTGTTGTAAGAAGAAGGGGGGATGCCACACAGTGGTAAAAATGGACTTGTCCCAACTTTTTTGGGATTTGTTGACGCCATGAAATTTGGAAACAACAGATTTTCCCCTTAAAATGATACATTCTCTCAGTTTAAACTTTTGATCTGTGATTTGTGTTCTATTCTGAATAAAATATTAGATGTTGGCACCTCCAAATCATTGCATTCAGTTTTTATTCACAATTTGTTTAGTGTCCCAACATTTTTGGAATCCGGTTTGTAGTTGTCACAATTCAAATATATCTCCCAATACATTGTTAAAAAACATGTTTGTTAACTGAACTGAATTTAAGTTTAAAAATATTGTTTCAAAACAAAGGATGAAATCCAAATGTTAATATGTGTCCACTGCTGCCAAAAACCCTGTGATAATGTTTTTGCCTGTTTATGTGCATTCCCATGTTTGTCTGTCTGTCATGTTTAGCAAAATGTCTCATGAATATCTGGGCAGATTTGTTTGAAACTCTCAGAAAGTAAGCTTTGGCTGTATCGGTAATTAACTTTTAAAATCATATTGATTTAGAATGGCTGCCACAGCAAATTGGTCTTAGCCAACTTTAAAATGGCTGTAACTCAGTCAGTTTTACAGATGAGATAAAATGTAGTGCGTTCTTAGAAAAGTCATTCCCACTACATATTTTCAAGTCGGAATGTGCGATATGGCATAAAATTCATATCACGATATGTATTGTGAAGGGTGGCGATAACGATGTATATCGCAATATGTTTTTGGTATAAAACTTGCTAAAAAAAAAGCATAGGATGTCCTCTTGCCATCATTTATTTTGAATTAAGAAAATTCCACTACTAGGTCCAGAGAGTTTTTAAATAATAAACAAATCAAGTATTAGGCTTCTTTCTTGTAGTGCAAAACAGTGCAAAAGATATCAAATGTAGTTTTAGCCATATATTTTAAACTAAAAAAATATGTTGTTAACTCTTATCAGTTTCCAGTTTTACTTAAGAAATGAACAGCAACAGAGCAGCATTTTACACTGAAACACTTCATCCTCCAAACCTCTAGTTGGCGTCTCCTTCCACTGTAATGGAGAGCTGACACAAAATGAGTCTGTGGCTTTGACCAGAGGGTCTCGCAGTAAAATCACACAACACAGCGTTCTTTTCACAGATCAGAGAGCAGGTTTCTCTAAACCTGACCAACGCTTACTTTAACTTTCGATGGAAAAAAACAAAACAAAAAACTTTCGACGCATGCGTCAGAATACGGCAACACTACGGCAAGCCGGCTGTAGTTGGCTTGTAGCTTCGCTACGTAGCTCTCAAAAAAAAGACTTTAACGCCACTTGCGCACAGTTTTCAACTAAAAAAAGTAACGATTAAACTGACAACTCTGATTTTACATCAGACACCGCATTACCGCGGTTAGCCAGTAGAAGACAGATCTCTATCGTAGGCTAAATTTCTATTGTTTCTACCGTATACCGTATATATCGCGCATTCCTATTTCCAAGTTCTAAAAATCTCACAAGATTTTTTATACTGGTTCAGATTCAGATTTGCATAAAACATGGTTTTAAGTTTTGATAAAAATAGCTTAAATTTAATTTTTCAATAAAGGGGGATCTTATTCTAAATTTATGACATGTAGGCGTTTAAGTGTTTTGAAAATGTCTTTTTGTTTGTGGGGTTTGTATGGAAAAAGTAAAAAAAAAATCACTTACTGGTTTTGTTTAAAATTAAACTATGGACTGTCTTTATGTCCAGTGGTTGTCTCTGTGAATAATTAACACTAATTTTGGTGCATTTTTGTACCCTTTTAATGTATGCTCTTGTTATCACAGATCTAGTGAGTTATTTCAACGACAGTCTGCACTACTGCACTTAAAAAAACTATGTCCTCACACATCAGGCACTTTTTGCCACTGTCTGTCTATGGTGGAACAATTCAGGCAGTACCAGCTTCTCTGAGTGAGCTGTCTGCACATTCTCAGTGTTGTTCCTGTTGACAGGTAGTCAGAGGAAGTGCACTCACAGAAAGAACAACATGGGAAATTAAGGCCTAGCTTACCTTAAAGGAATGCATTTCACCGACTGCCTTTTATGTCTGAGTTTTATACTAACATTAAATCCATGTTGAGAAATGCGTAACTAAAGTTTTTTATTTAAATGCATTAACAATGTGAACAAAATTAAGATTATGATCTGAACTTCTAACAAATATTTACGATAATCATTCTAGTAATTTGTTCAAGTCTCTAAAGTTCATTTTAGTCTTTAATCGGCGCACACTTTTTAGTTGCACATTAATTTATTATTGTAAATATTTAGATAGCGTTTGCTTGCTATTCTTGGATGATATGTTTCGTAGAAGCTTACATTCACAGAAATCTGTCCACAGAACATTCCGAACGTTTGATTATTTGCTTAAATCCAGGATAAGACAGGGATTTTTAAATGTTTCCTGAAATGGTTGTTTGCTCAGGTTTTTTTGGTAGACACACTGTGCAGAAAATCTGTAAGTATTCTTTAACCAAAATGTTCTAACATTGATTAGATTTTAATTAGTGCACAATAACAAAATTTTTTGTTTGTCAGAAGCTGTAGTGTAAAATCTGTTTAAAAAAACAAACAAAACAGATAGTATTTTGAATCTGAGGGACTTTTCCCCCCAATATTATTTTTGGTTTCTATCAAAACTAGTCATAGGTCATCAGGAAACCTGTTAAGAGCACTAGAGCTGTATTTTGACACCTGTAAAACTGCTCACTTCTGACTAGAAACATCTGAGGCTGAAGTCTGGAGTGTCCTGGTCTAAACACCATGATTAACAATAATAATTTTAAATTGGTCCAAATCAAAACTGTGCTCCAGTAGATTAAATCCTAAAGTGTGCTTGCTGCTGAGATGAGTACAAAGTAGACCGGTATGTGGGCAACAAAACAGCATGCGGCCTAGAATACTGTACACACAAAAATAGGTGATGGTTTTCAAAAACACAAGGCTTGCTAGTTGGATAACACTCAGAATTCATTGAGACTGTAGCTGAAAGTACACCTATTTCCTCACAATTTTCCCAGTTTTGAGTCGTCATCTAGTCTCCCAACAATGAAATACTAACTTTACCTCAAGCCCTGTTGCTGAAAAACTCTGACAGAAAGGAGGCTTTGGATACACGCACTTAATTAAGCTTGAGCTAATTCTGCTAGCCAGGCTGTTTGGTGTTTTTTTCATGTTCATCGATGTGAGGGACGTATTCAGTCAGTAATGTTGCCGTTGACTGTCATTTTTGTAATCCTTTCAAAATAAAGCTAGGACGGCGGAAAAAAAATGCCCATAACACTTGAAGGTTTTAGGGTTGTCAAAAATAGCACTCCATCTGGAAAAGTATCGGTTGTTATGGTCATTGGGAAACAACTTGGTGCAAAACTGCTGCTACCTCACAATCTTGTTAGCAGTGCATTGCTGTGTGCTGGTGTACATATAAAAAGACAAACCATTTGCTTATTAAACAGTCATTCATCAAATTGTCAAATTTTAACACTTTTTCAAATATCAAAAAATTCTTGGCCAACCTTGCATAGTGTAGTATGCACTGTTTTTTTAATATTGAATCAACAATAA